CAGGACCTGAGTGTGTCCAGAGATGGTGTCTGGGAGCCAGAGATTGGAGTCAAAAACATTAGAAATTTACCTGTTGTTCTATTCTACTGTAGCTAAGCTATCCCTCAAACCACAAGACAAAGTCCTTCCCACTCTACTCACCCATTTCCACAGGTGAAGGAGTCTCTCTTTCTCTCTCTGGTCACTACCACCACCAGCCAATGGGGGTTTCTCCCAGGCCACCAGTGATGTGGCCCAAGAGCTTATCATTCAGCTTATGATGAATGTTGCCTGGCCTGGGACTCACACTTAAGGGCAGTGTGCTTCCCTATGGGCCAGGGGAGGTCCAGGTATGCTGTCCAAGAGTCTAGGCTTGGACCTAAGTGCCAAGATCCCACTTAATTCTTTACCTTCTATGGCTGAACTGGAACCTAAGGTGGAAGACAAAGTCTCTGCTACTTTTCTCTCTGCTATTCTCAAACAGAAGGAGGCTTTCACCACAGTCACCACAGCTGGGAATGTGCTGAGTCACACCTGAAGCAAGCGTGTCCCAGAACCCAAGTCCCACAGAGTGCTACCTGGTGCCGAGTGAGTCCATGTACTATCTGTGTATTGCTGCTGGTTATTCATGGCCCAAGGGTTCTTTAGTCAGCAGTTGATGAATCCTGCCACGACTTGGCCCTTCCCATCAAGGCCATGGGTTCCACCCTTCTGACCAAGGGTGTGTCTAGAAATGTCATCCAGGAGGTAGGTCCTGGAAGGGAAATCTCACAACTCTGCCCACTGCCCTGTCCTATTGTGGCTAAGCTGATATCCAGGATGCAAGACAAAGTCCTCTTTACTTTTCCTCTTTACCCTTCCCTCTCCTTTCCTGAAGCAGAAAGAAGGAATTACCTTTCTTACTGCTAGAAGCATTGCATAGGGTTGGGAATGTGGGGCTCAAGCACTCCCTTAGTCACCTCATCTGCTCTCTTTCTAGGTCACATGTCACCCTAGTCCACTGGCTCTAACCCCAACCCAGCACCATTAGTTGCCCAATAATTGCCATCCTTGTGTCCTGGATTGCCTTTCAAGTTTACTTAGGATTCCAGAGCACTTTGTCCTGTGGTGAAGAGACCTGCCAAGAAACTCAGCTTCTGACCACTGAGATGGGTGATTCTCCTCTGGCTAGGGTTAGTCAAAATGTACTTTCTGTGCGTGCGTGCCTGCTGAGCCTAGCACAGGTTTTCTCTCTGCAGTGACAGGGTAGCCCTAAGTTGAATGTAAAGTACCCTACTTGCTGCACTCTCCCTCCCACAAGAGTAGATTCTCTCTTGCCATGTGGCTACTGCCAGGGGTTGGGTAAAGGGTGACATTGGCCATTCAAGAGTGACTGCCTACTCTCTTCAGTGCCTCTTTCAGTGATATGAAGTAAAACTCAAGTACTGTGTGTGCTTACCTGGTGTTTAGTTTTTGTGATGGTGTTTTTTGTGTGTAGTTAGTTGTTAAAATTTGGTTTTCCTGCTTGTGGGAGATGAATGGTATAGGCTTCTGCACAGCCATCTTGCTCTGCCCTACATAACTCTTAATATTCAGGTATTTGCAAGCATCTGGGTGATCGAAATTATCACAACCTATAAAATATGTTTGTGATCAACAACATTGATGGATAAACTCATGCAATAATTTTCATTTAAAGTTAAACTCAACAATGTTTAGATAAATACTGACTGGATGGTGGGCTAAACTGATGAATGTATAGATGGATAAATGGTTGCACAGATAAATGAGTAAATATTGTTTCATTATATGTTGAGTAAGTTCATTTTATTGGTTAAAATAATAATGATACTATGTTGTTCAGATTGTGTAATTCATATTATTATTATATTGATTCTTTACCTATAATTGTTCATTTATATAGTTTTAAACAATTTGCATTGTAAATAAATTTGCCAGGTAGTGATATTTAGCACTTTAAGCACTATAGTAGTTTTCTAGACAGGGAGTTACCGATTACCGCAAACTCAGTGGCTTGAAACAAGAGCAATTAATTCTCTCATAGTTCTGGAGGCCACAAACTCAAAGTCTGTGTCTCCAAGTTTGCACTCTCTCCCAAGGTTCTAGCTGAGAGTCCATTCCATGGTTATTTCTCCTAGTTTCTAATGGATTCCCACAATTTTTAGCATTCCTTGGCTCACAGCCTCATTAAAGTACTCCACTCTCTGCCTCCATTTTTATATTGCCCTTTTCTCTATGTATATGTTTCCTCTTTTTTTAATCCTGTAAAGATACTTGTCACTGAGATAATCCAGGATAATCTCCTCAGTTCTAAATGTTTAATTTAATAGCATATGCAATGACCCCTTTTCCCAAATAACTTATCACTCACAAGTTCTAGGAATTAATATGTGGGCGTATCTTTTTGGTGGCCACCATTCAACCCACTAGAGGCACTAAGATATTTTTAAGCAAGGCCATTTGCCAAGACTGTTATATTATTGCCTTATTTAATACAGGACAGTTACATTAAGAGAAGGCTGTCCTAATGGCTCAAACCTGTTACCGTGTGACCTATAAATACAGCAAAACATCATGAGGTATGTAGGGCCCTTTACTCCTACAGTGAATGCTTAAGGACTAAGATTGCTTCTTTAATTCCTATGTTTGATTTTTGGAGTGTTTCTTTTTAAAATTTTCGTCAGCTGTAATTTCATGATTCTGCATTAGCATCTACTTTCCTTTCCCTAATCTAATACTTCTAATTATTCTGTAATAACAATGCCTGGTAAAAGTATTTGTGAAACAGGAACCAATCAGTTTGGAATTATTTAAATATTATGAAATATGGAAAAACAAAAACTAAACAAATTTTAACTAATGTAAATACTACATTTAGGTTCAGTAAGATAATTGTACAAGTTTGATATGAAGATAGCTGGCTTGATAACAACTCATGTTTAAGGAATAACTTTGAGTATGACAACTCTACAGTGTAATGTGGTTATCCAGAAGCTAGCAAAATACTTAAGAATCTGGTATTCTTGTTCCACTTCATGTTAGTCAGATAAATTTGGATGTCACATTTAATGACAGACTTAAATAAATTCAAGCATCCAGAGAAATGTGATCATAGTAAGGGGCTGAAAGCAGGCTTCATGAAGAATATATTATAATACCAATGATGAATATCCTGGGAAGTGAAAACTTTGATGCTGGAGAAGGGGAGAGAAAAGCATGTCTGCTGTTCTCATATAAAAAATGGCTGTCATGTGTAAGAGTGGAGGAAGCTGATTCTTTAGAAGGAAGGAATAGGATCAATATCTGGAAGTTAGGTGGAGATCATTTTCAGCTTACAATATAAAACCAACATTTTTTAACAATGGGACCGCATTCTTATAGAAGTTATCTATCACTGAAGAAGGTTTCATTGAGATTGGCTTTTATTTACTTTATGAAATAGATGGTAGTTTGAAGAAAGTTGCCTGTTATGCAAAAATGTACATATATAAGGGGTACTAGGTCTGTAAGGATTTTCAGTCGATAGGATAGCCTGTGATCAAGGTGAAATATGTATTTAAATGCCAGAGGGATAACTCTGACTGAGGCCATGACCATTGGCTTTCTAACTCTTCAATGCATGTGTCTCTTTCCCCACCTGCATTTGTGTTTATTTTCCCTTCTTCTTCCCTCTTTTCTTCTGTGTCTGTATCTCTCTCTTTAGTCTATGGCTTAAGTCATCTGGGGCTTTCACTTTTATCTTTAACCTTCAGGTCTAAAGAAGGCACTGATATCTGAAACAGAGATTATTCCTACCCTTACTGACTTGGTAACATTTCTTTCACCATTGGCTGTATGACCTTAGGCAATTTTCCAAACTCGCTTGAGTTTTAGTTGTCCCGTCCCTTCAGTATAAAATAATCTAAACAATACTTTTCCTCCTTTTTGTTGTTGTTTTGTTGTATGTGTGTGTGTATGTGTATGTGTGTGTAAAACATTAAAATCAGCATGTAAGGATGTCTCAGTTTAGGCTGCTATAACAAAATATTATAGACTGTGTAGCTTAAACAATAGACATTTCTTTCTCACAGTTCTGGAGGCTATGGTGTCCAAAATCAAGGTGCAGTAGATTCAGTTTGATGAAGGCCCACTCCCTGATTTGCAGACAGCTGTCTTCTTATTGTATTCTCACGTGGCTGAGAAGGAAAAGCCCCTGGTGTCTTCCATATATATATATATACACACACACATATATATACACACACACACATATATACACACACACACACACACACATATATATATATATTCCCATCATGATGGGGCACTACCCTCTTTATTTCATCTAAATCTAATTACCTCCCAAAGGCTTACCTCCAAATAACATCACATTGGAAATTCAAGTTTGAACATAAGAATTTTGAGGAAACATTAACAGTAAGTCTATAGCAAAAGGCAAGATATTATTAGTGAGCACAGCTTTCAGACATGAGTAAAAGTTTTGGAAGTTTCAAAATTATTTGGATGAGAAACCTTCCCCAAGTGTTTATATTTGTGTACGTGGGTAAAACAGTGAATCTGCCTTACTCATTCTTTCTAACATTCCACAAGCTGTTTCCATTGGAAATGCAAGGTAGTTCGTTTTCTTTTTTCTGAGACAGAAATATTCTGGAGAAGCAAATAAAGTATCATGTTGAGGGTGGAAAAACAATCTAATCCTTGGAAGGGTTGCCAACATGTCTTTTTAGCTGCTTGAGAATATGTGGATAGGTTTTCTGTCAGTTAACTTTTTTTTTTCTTTTGAGACAGTCTTGCTGGAGTGGAGTGGCATGATCTCGGCTCACTGCAACCTCTGCCTCCCAGATTCAAACAAGTCTCCTGCTTCAGCTATCTGAGTAGCTAGGTTTACCACCACGCCCCGCTAATTTTTATATTTTTAGTACAGATGTGGTTTCACCATGTTGGTCAGGCTGGTCTCGAACTCCTGATCTCAAATGATGCACCTGCCTCAGACTCACGAAGTGCTGGGATTACAAGTATGAGCCACCGCACCCGGCCCAGTTAAATTTTATGAATGAGAATATTCACAGTGACTTCTAGTGAAGCACTCTATAAACACGATACAGTGCAACACTTTTAAACAGAAACAAACAAAAAGCACTACAGTAAAAGGCAATGCAATATGACTGAATAGAATCCTCCAGTGATTGTCCCCCCACAGAAAAACGAAACTGAATAACTATTTACAGGAAAAACACATAAATGAGAACCAAAATACAGGTGAGTTATAGCAATACATAGTTTTGACATCATATTAAGCAAAATGGCATTGAGGAGGTAGAAAAGACAGTCTTGAATTGCCTACACTGTCCCTCCCTCATCCCATGGTAGTTCCATATGGCGCTGGGAGAGATAATTTGTGTGCTTGAGGGAGGGAGAGCGAAGTGATTGTGAGACTTTACTTTGGAATTCAGTGTTGCCATGTTACAGTGGCAACAAACCCAGAGCAGAATTCACCTGGTAACCATGGAGGGAGCATTCAGACCAGACCTAGCCAGTGGGGAATCATCCATCCTACCAGTCAGAACCTGAGTTCCATCTAGCCCCACAACCATGGACTAAAGTTCTTTGGGGTCCTAAATAAATTTGAAAGGAAGTCTAGGTTACAAGAACCAAAATTCCTGGGTAAGTCCTGGTGTTGTACTGGGATTGGAGCCAGTGGGCTTGGGATACATGGGAGCCAGTGAGACATCAGCTATGGTGGCCAAGAACGTGCTTGCATTACCACCACCTGCTCACTAAAGAGCTTTGGGTCTTGAATAAACATTAATGGTAGCCAGGCAATAGTTGCCACAGGCTGTGGGTGAGACCCTGTACTGCGTTAGCTTTAACTGTGACTCAGCACTGTCCCAGTGGTGGTGGCCACAGGAGTGTTTGTGTCACCACCACCCCTCCCCCCCCAACCAACTACAGGTGGCTCATCATGGAGAGAGAGAGAGAGAGAGAGAGAGACTCCATTTGTTTGGGGAAATGTAAAGGAAGACAATAAGAGACAGTGCCTTGTAACTCAGAAAGTTCTCCAGGATCCTTTTTTTTTTTTTTTTTTTTTTTTACCTTTGAGATATATATCTTGATTTTATATTTATTTATCTATTTATTTATTTATTTATTTATTTATTTATTTATTATTATACTTTAAGTTCTAGGGTACATGTGCATAACGTGCAGGTTTGTTACATATGTATACTTGTGCCATGTTGGCGTGCTGCACCCATCAACTCGTCAGCACCCATCAACTTGTCATTTACATCAGATATAACTCCCAATACAATCCCTCCCCCCTCCCCCCTCCCCATGATAGGCCCCGGTGTGTAAAATTCCCCTTCCCGACTTCAAGTGATCTCATTGTTCAGTTCCCACCTATGAGTGAGAACATGCGGTGTTTGGTTTTCTGTTCTTGTGATACTTTGCTAAGAATGATGGTTTCCAGCTGCATCCATGTCCCTACAAAGGACACAAACTCATCCTTTTTGATGGCTGCATAGTATTCCATGGTGTATATGTGCCACATTTTCTTAATCCAGTCTGTCACTGATGGACATTTGGGTTGATTCCAAGTCTTTGCTATTGTGAATAGTGCCGCAATAAACATACGTGTTCATGTGTCTTTATAGCAGCATGATTTCTAATCTTTTGGGTATATCCCCAGTAATAGGATGTCTGGGTCATATGGTACATCTAGTTCTAGATCCTTGAGGAATCGCCATACTGTTTTCCATAATGGTTGAACTAGTTTACAATCCCACCAACAGTGTAAAAGTGTTCCTATTTCTCCACATCCTCTCCAGCACCTGTTGTTTCCTGACTTTTTATTGATCGCCATTCTAACTGGTGTGAGATGGTATCTCATTGTGGTTTTGATTTGCATTTCTCTGATGGCCAGTGATGATGAGCATTTTTTCATGTGTCTGTTGGCTGTATGAATGTCTTCTTTTGAGAACTGTCTGTTCATAACCTTTGCCCACTTTTTGATGGGGTTGTTTGTTTTTTTCTTGTAAATTTGTTTGAGTTCTTTGTAGGTTCTGGATATTAGCCCTTTGTCAGATGAGTAGATTGCAAAAATTTTCTCCCATTCTGTAGGTTGCCTGTTCACTCTGATGGTAGTTCTTTGCTGTGCAGAAGCTCTTAGTTTAATGAGATCCATTTGTCAATTTTGGCTTTGCTGCCATTGCTTTTGGTGTTTTAGACATGAAGTCTTTGCCCATGCCTATGTCCTGAATGGTATTACCTAGGTTTTCCTCTAGGGTTTTATGGTATTAGGTCTAACATTTAAGTCTCTAATCCATCTTGAATTAATTTTCATATAAGGAGTAAGGAAGGATCCAGTTTCAGCTTTCTACTTATGGCTAGCCAATTATCCCAGCACCATTTATTAAATAGGGAATCCTTTCCCCATTTCTTGTTTCTCTCAGGTTTGTCAAGATCAGATGGCTGTAGATGTGTGGTATTATTCTGAGGATTCTGTTCTGTTCCATTGGTCTATATCTCTGTTTTGGTACCAGTACCATGCTGTTTTGGTTACTGTAGCCTTGTAGTATAGTTTGAAGCCAGGTAGCGTGATGCCTCCAGCTTTGTTCTATTGACTTAGGATTGTCTTGGAGATGCGGGCTCTTTTTTGGTTCCATATGAACTTTAAGCAGTTTTTTCCAATTCTGTGAAGAAACTCATTGGTAGCTTGATGGGGATGGCATTGAATCTATAAATAACCTTGGGCAGTATGGCCATTTTCACGATATTGATTCTTCCTATCCATGAGCATGGTATGTTCTTCCATTTGTTTGTGTCCTCTTTTCTTTCACTGAGCAGTGGTTTGTAGTTCTCCTTGAAGAGGTCCTTTACATTCCTTGTAAGTTGGATTCCTAGGTATTTTATTCTCTTTGAAGCAATTGTGAATGGAAGTTCATTCCTGATTTGGCTCTCTGTTTGTCTGTTACTGGTGTATAAGAATGCTTGTGATTTTTGCACATTAATTTTGTATCCTGAGACTTTGCTGAAGTTGCTTATCAGCTTAAGGAGATTTTCGGCTGAGACAATGTGGTTTTCTAAATATACAATCATGTATCTGCAAAGAGGGACAATTTGACTCCTTCTTTTCCTAATTGAATACCCTTGATTTCTTTCTCTTGCCTGATTGCCCTAGCCAGAACTTCCAACACTATGTTTAATAGGAGAGGTGAGAGAGGGCATCCCTGTCTTGTGCCAGTTTTCAAAGGGAATTTTTCCAGTTTCTGCCCATTCAGTATGATATTGGCTGTGGGTTTGTCATAAATAGCTCTAATTATTTTGAGGTACGTTCCATCAATACCGAATTTATTGAGCGTTTTTAGCATGAAGGGCTGTTGAATTTTGTCAAAAGCCTTTTCTGCATCTATTGAGATAATCATGTGGTTCTTGTCTTTGGTTCTGTTTATATGCTGGATTATGTTTATTGATTTCCGAATGTTGAACCAGCCTTGCATCCCAGGGATGAAGCCCACTTGATCATGGTGGATAAGCTTTTTGATGTGCTGCTGAATCCAGTTTGCCAGTATTTTATTGAGGATTTTTGCATTGATGTTCACCAGGGATATTGGTCTAAAATCCTCTTTTTTTTGTTGTGTCTCTGCCAGGCTTTGGTATCAGGTTGATGGTGGCCTCATAAAATGAGTTAGGGAGGATTCCCTCTTTTTCTATTGATTGGAATAGTTTCAGAAGGAATGGTACCAGCTCCTCCTTATACCTCTGGTAGAATTCAGCTGTGAATCCATCTGGTCCTGGACTTTTTTTGGTTGGTAGGCTATTAATTATTGCCTCAATTTCAGAGCCTGCTATTGTTCTATTCAGGAATTCAGCTTCTTCCTGGTTTAGTCTTGGGAGAGTGTAAGTGTCCAGGAAATTATCCATTTCTTCTAGATTTTCCAGTAAATTTGCGTAGAGGTGTTTATAGTATTCTCTGATGGTAGTTTGTATTTCTGTGGTGTCGGTGGTGATATCCTCTTTATCATTTTTTATTGCATCTATTTGATTCTTCTCTCTTTTCTTCCTTTTTAGTCTTGCTAGCAGTCTGTCAATTTTGATGATCTTTTCAAAAAACCAACTCCTGGATTCATTGATTTTTTGGAGGGTTTTTTGTGTCTCTATCTCCTTCAGTTCTGCTCTGATCTTAGTTATTTCTTGCCTTCTGCTAGCTTTTGAATGTGTTTGCTCTTGCTTCTCTAGTTCTTTTAATTGTGATGTTAGAGTGTCAATTTTAGATCTTTCCAGCTTCCTCTTGTGGGCATTTAGTGCTATAAATTTCCCTCTACACACTGCTTTAAATGTGTCCCAGAGATTCTGGTATGTTGTCTCTTTGTTCTCATTGGTTTCAAAGAACATCTTTATTTCTGCCTTCATTTCGTTATGTACCCAGTAGTCATTCAGGAGCAGGTTGTTCAGTTTCCATGTAGTTGAGCAGTTTTGATTGAGTTTCTTAGTCCTGAGTTCTAGTTTGATTGCACTGTGGTGTGAGAGACAGTTTGTTATAATTTCTGTTCTTGTACATTTGCTGAGGAGTGCTTTACTTCCAATTACGTGGTCGATTTTGGAGTAAGTACAATGTGGTGCTGAGAAGAATGTATATTCTGTTGATTTGGGGTGGAGAGTTCTATAGATGTCTATTAGGTCTGCTTGCTGCAGAGATGAGTTCAATTCCTGGATATCCTTGTTAACTTTCTGTCTCGTTGATCTGTCTAATGTTGACAGTGGAGTGTTGAAGTCTCCCATTATTATTGTATGGGAGTCTAAGTCTCTTTGTAAGTCTCTAAGGACTTGCTTTATGAATCTGGGTGCTCCTGTATTGGGTGCATATATATTTAGGATAGTTAGCTCTTCCTGTTGAATTGATCCCTTTACCATTTTGTAATGGCCTTCTTTGTCTCTTTTGATCTTTGATGGTTTAAAGTCTGTTTTATCAGAGACTAGTATTGCAACCCCTGCTTTTTTTTTGTTCTCCATTTGCTTGGTAAATCTTCCTCCATCCCTTTATTTTGAGCCTATGTATGTCTCTGCATGTGAGATGGGTCTCCTGAATACAGCAGACTGATGGGTCTTGACTCTTTATCCAGTTTGCCTGTCTGTGTCTTTTAATTGGAGCATTTAGTCCATTTACATTTAAGGTTAAGATTGTTATGTGTGAACTTGATCCTGCCATTATGGTATTAACTGGTTATTTTGCTCGTTAGTTGATGCGGTTTCTTCCTAGCTTCGATGTTCTTTACATTTTGGCATGTTTTTGCAATGGCTGGTACCGGTTGTTCCTTTCCATGTTTAGTGCTTCCTTCGGGGTCCCTTGTAAGGCAGGCCTAGTGGTGACAAAATCTCTAAGCATTTGCTTATCTGTAAAGGATTTTATTTCTCCTTCACTTCTTAAACTTAGTTTGGCTGGATATGAAATTCTAGGTTTAAAATTCTTTTCTTTAAGAATGTTGAATATTGTCCTCCACTCTCTTCTGGCTTGTAGAGTTTCTGCCGAGAGATCTGCTGTTAGTCTGATGGGCTTCCATTTGTGGGTAACCCGACCTTTCTCTCTGGCTGCCCTTAAGGTTTTTTCCTTCATTTCAACTTTGGTGAATCTGGCAATTATGTGTCTTGGAGTTGCTCTTATGGAG